ATACTTTTTTTATTAACTTGGTAATTATTTGAACGAGACAGCCGATCTATTTGCATGAGCAATTATTTTAGATCATCTTGATAGAAAGATATGTGAATAACGCGTCAGTCATTAATTTATGCCTCTTTCCCGAATAGCCAATATCTTGAAATTATGAAGCGTTACAAGCGCTTGAGAAGACTGTCGCTGGCGAAAGACTCTTCTGGCTCAAGTCCAAGTTGACGAATCCGCGAGTACCGGCGTCGACGACAAACGATCTTACACAGGTGTTAAACTTAGAACTCGAACTAATTAAGGCTCTCCAGACAGAGCGGCCACGTAACAGGGAATTTTGCGTGAAACTGGGAAAACCACTGATCGGGAACAAAGTCACTGTCCCGTTATCTCATTGTCCAGAGATCTTCATCAGTTCTAAATTACGCCTTATGAACCGAAACTTCTATTTACCTATTTATTCATCTATTTGCAAATATCGGATGATCGGCGTGTCGAGCCAGATGTAACTATTTAAAATGCGTATACGAATCCAGACACGCGAGTTCGTAAGCGTGAGGATTTTTTTTTTAGCGGTCAATGGTCCACACACGTGAGACCAAAATGAAACTGCAAAATGTTATTTCTCTTCTATCCTCGCTTCTCTCTCTCTCTCTCTCTCTCTCTCTCTCTCTCTCTCTCTCTCTCTCTCTCCCCTCTCCCCTCCTCTCCTCCCCCTTCATCACGGAGATCGCACATACTCGAAATTCGAAGGTTATTTTTAGGACGAATTTCGTCGTCGCGTAAGGCCACGACGAGCGGCGTCGGCGTCGCTTCGCTCAGTGTTGAGGAGGCGTCGGTGGAGGACGCAGTGGTAACGACGAACTCTCTTCGACAAGTGAGAAGAAACGAGCGCATGAGGGTGGTACGGTTATAAAGAAAGAAAAGGGGGTGCGAAGGAAGACACGAGAGAGGGAAGCGCACACCGACGCCCGAACGATCTTCCTACGAACGAACGATCGACTGAGAGATATCACACATTTGTTCTTCATCACTTATTCCCACCCTTCCCAATTTCTCGTTGTTATCCCTTCCTCCGTCCCCTTCCTCGAGATATATATATATATATATTATCTCTCCTTATCTCACTGTCATACTTTCGACGACGAACAAACGAACACTGAACGAATAACCGATCCCTCGAGCTATGGCCACCGCCATGGACCCGGTCGACATTGCGAATATACTCGCGCAGGAGTTGCTTTATCAGCAGGTAATCGTAAAAAGATATCATCTTTCAAACGCGAAGACACCTCCGAACATCTTCGCCGAGCAAATCGATTCGTTTTTTAATGTCCAGAAAGTAAACGGTATAAAAATATTCCAGAATAGGCAAATCATATCTTGTTCGCCATTACACATTTTTTTTTTCAGAATTAATTATTTTAATCTTTTTAAGACGCAAATGTTCTTCCCCCCCCCTTCCTTCCCTCCCCCGCAAATGTAATTTTTATTATCATCCTTCTCTCTAATTGTACACTGATTTGGCTCAGAGAAGAGAATTCATTCAAGGAATATTTACCGCACACGTTGCGACGCGTGTAAACTCCGACATCGAGATACGTTTTACGACGCGGGCGGATATTCGATCTCATTGTGATCGCGTAGCGCGAATGAAGTGGCTCTTTGTCGACTCGAGAAAGGGCCCCGAAGAGGCGCGAGGAGGTTCTTCTGAGAGAGAGACGATCGTTTCTAATCTGAAAATAAACGCGACCGCTGGCGGATGTTCGAGGGAGCGATGTTTGAGAGAGCCGCGTTTCATTCACGGCGCTCGATTAATTTCGATCGCGGATCGCCGATCGCACAGCGAAGCTGCTCTTGCGGAAAGATCAACGGAAAGATCCGCCGTCGTTCGATCGCGTGGGTAGCGAAGCAGCGAGTTAATCGCGCAATTTCTGTGAACTTGAAGGAGGAGAGAAAGCTCGCTTCTCGAAGCGAGCCGGACGAACGTTCGGCTTGTGCGGGATGATGATGCGGGATTGCGAACGAGCGGAGAATTGTGCAATATTGTGCAATGGAAGTTCCACCCGCCTTGAAAACTATCGCAAGCGTACCGAGAATCGTTTTTATGCCGACCATTTGATAATAAGTTTGTGGCAGGGATCATCGAAAAACGTGAGTCGAATCTAATTTGAAGTTTTTTACCGTCAGGGTTCGGGACGAACTCGATTGTTTAATACGTTCAATTTTTATATTCAAAATCGACTCGACATCTTAATTATATATTCAGATTATAGATATTTCGAAGAAAAATTAAATTAAATTATTATCGCTATCAATTTTTGCATATTTTTTTTTAAGTGAAGAGAAATTGTTGAATAGCTATTATTTTTTTGTAAATAAAGAACGTGTGGTATAATTTGGTTTTTGATTTTTAATTTGAATCGATTTACTTAAATTCTGATTACATGGTTTTCTCAAAACTAGCTGGAAATCATATGCTATGGACTCAACAAAATTGCAAAACGTTTCAATTATTATTAGACCTGCGCACGCGAAGGCCATTAATCTGCACGTCGCGATGTTTCTAACAAATATTGCCAATTAATCCGAAATTAATAGTAGTTACAAATTATAGTAAATTATAGTAAATTATTTTAACAGATTTTTAATTCTGGATATTTTTGGAAATTAATTGGTATAATAGAACAGGTTTAAATATATTGAATTTTTTAACAGTGAGTTTTTGTTTTTATATTTTTAAATGTACACGTAACATCCAAAATTGATATTGCAATAAAAAAGGAGCAATTGCAAATCTTGTGCGTCCCGATTTATATCTCATCTCTATTAATTTATATCTCAATTGCCGTATAAGCGTATGATTTCTCTCTCTCTCTC